CAACAGCTCCCAACAGGCACGACATGATAAAACCAAAACAGAATGTAGAAGACGCCCAACTGGAGTACTAAATCCTGCATGTACATGTATCGTGTCTGCAACGACTCTCTATATCCGAGCACCGAACACGGATAGGGTAATACGGTACGTATGCACGTCCGCAAACTGGTATGACACCGTAGGATCTCTACGCTCTACGCTCTACAATGCTCGAAGGACTCGAGCTACGCTATCACGGAACGGCAAGAATGAAGCAAGCAGGGGGAGGGAGGACCGAAGACGGAGGAGGGAGTTGCACTGTAAGTCGGGCTGGGCAGACACTAAAGGGAACTTGACATACGCTATAGAGGGCAAGATGGGCAGACCATGACGGAGACGCGTGAAGCAGACATTATCTAATAATGAAGTCAATGATATAGTAGGCTACGCGCTGGGAGATGTCTAATGTGTAGTCGTCTTCATACGCGCTTTACCCGTCCGTGCACCGATGCGTCGAACGGGTAAGGACAAATGACAAAATGGGACACCCAACGCCACTCCCGACGCCCCCTCTATCTCCGCCCTTTCTATCTTCTACTCTCAGTTCCTCTCCCTCCTCTCATCTACAACGACAACCTCCCCGCTCGCATCCAGCACGAACGGGCTCGGCGGCACGAGCGGCGTGCTCGGCAACGCCGCCAGCCTCACCTTCCTCCCATCTCCCGCTCCCCCCTGCATGCCCACCATCCTCGTGAGCGCCGCACACGCCCTCCGCGGCGCAAAGTACTCTGCCTGCTTCTCGTGCAAGCTGCCGCCGCCGCCGATCTTCGTTGGCTCGACGTTCGCCACGCTCTCCTGCTCGCCATCTGTGTCATTGTCATTGTCCGTATCGGACGCAGAGGAGAGCGATGGCGTGGACGACTCGAGCTCCTGCTCAGACTGGCCGTCCTGTTCAGAGTCATGCTCAAAGGCAGTGTCATGGAAGATACCATCCTCCTCGGCACCGGTAGGCGTCAGCTCGACCTTCTCCGCAGGCGCCAAAGAACGCAACGGCGTCTGCTCCGCATCCTCACGTACGCTCTCCTTCTCCTTCGTCCCTCCCTCTATATGCTCATCTTCATCCTGCTTCTCCATCAACGGCACGAACGCAAAGTTCATCTGTCTCTTCGGCCTCCGTTCCTCCTTCCGCTCTTCCCTCCTGCTCTCCGCCGGCTTCGGCGCATCTTGCGCGGGCAGCAGCGGCACGAAGGCCATGTTCAGGCGGTGTGGCGGGGGTGGTAGGGGTGCGTGTGGTTTGGGCGAAGACGGGAAAAGAGAGGATATGGATGGGGATGGTGAGGGTGAGGGTGAAGGCGGGACGGCGGGCAAGCGCTGTGTGCCAGAGGGCGAGTGGAGCGTGATGGATGGCGGGGTGCGTGGGGATTGCGATGATGGCGGGGGTGGTGGTGTGGCCTGTGAAGACGGCATGCTGGACGAGGACGAGGGTGGCGGCGGATGTGGTGGTGATGATGGTAGTGGTGAAGGTGCAGGTGAGACCTCTTCAGAGCGAGAAGTAGGGGTCACGGTGGAGTTGGAATCAAGACCATGGCTAGGACTTGGCTGACGGTCTCGCTCGTGATGCTGGTCCGCAGGGATGGAAGCCGCGATCGGACCAGGTTTCAACGAAGACAGCTTGGGTGTCTCGGGCGCAGATGCCGGCGTCGGCAGGGGCGGCGGTATTGACGGCTCTGGCTCTGGCTCGGGCTCTTGCGCAGACGAGTCCAACAGCGGGAGCAGCCTGATGGGCACCGCTTCGAGGTAGGGCAGAATCTCGGGGTCGATGGGCCGCGCGAACTGGGAACGGTTCTTCCAGCGGTCAGGCGTCTGGCTGGGCTGTGACGCAAAGCGCGAGCAGGGGAACGGCTGCGGCGTGTAGGAGGATGCCGCCGAGGAGGATGAGGACGACGACGACGACGACGAGGGGTACGGGTAGGAGCAAGAATGTTCGTAGGGTGTGTGGCAGTCGCGCGGAAGGGAGGTCGTGAACGGCTGGCGGGGAGTAGGGGGTGGGGGTGGTGCGCGGGGGAGGGACACGAGGAGCTGCTTGAGCTCGAGGACGTCTCTGTCGGTGGAAGGGGCAGTCATCAGTATGTGTGCGGTGATATCAGTCAGGGGCAGTGTGAGTTTGGTGAACGGCAGGCTTATGTACCCCTCTGCAGCGGCCACTTCGGGCGTCGGCGCATCGAGAGGCGAAGACAGGCAACAACAGATAGGAAGAACGGAAATGACGTCGTCGGCCATCGCATCGCAGCGTGCGTCCGACTTCCAACGGTCACTGAAATATATCATCTGCTCTGGTGTCTCTCCGTGACTCACGCGAATGAGAAGCAGACGAGAGACACGGCACAGCACGACAGGTTGATGAACGGCAGGCTTATGTACCCCTTTGCAGCCGCCACTTCGGGCGTCGGCGCATCGGGAGGCGAAGACGAGGCAACAACAGATAAGAGACCGAGGAAGAACGGAAATGACGTCGTCGGCATCGCAGCGTGCGCCCGACTTCGAACAGTCTCCCAAATGGATCATCCGCTCTAGCATCTCCGTGACTCACGCAAGCGAGAAGCAGACAAGAAACACAGCACAGCACGACACTCACGAGTACGACAGCTTGGGCGTGACAGGGGCAGGCGACCGGTCCCACTCGTCTGCGAAGAATACCTCCTCCAGCGTCGAGTCCTCGCAGAAGGACACGTTCTTGCGGAGGGGCGGCCTGGTGAACGGTCCCGCGCACTGCGACGGGGCAGGTGAGGTCCGCCCGGATGCACTGGGCGTCGTCCAAGGCGAATGGGAGAGCTCCGGCGTCTGCGGGGGCGAGTGCTTCAGGCAGCCTTTGCGCATCGTGTATCGGTAGTGTGAGCGGCAGACGATAGTAGATAGAGCAGCCTGGTGCTAGCAGTCCACGCACGGACAGTCGAGAGCAAGTATATGCGCGGGAACGCAGACAGAGTCGAACACCGGCACAGAATCGAACACAAACGCAGGCGGAGGCGGGGTGCTCGTCGCCAGCTTGTCTGTGTGTTGGATGCAGATGGGGCGACGACGGGGAGGGAGTCGATGAGCAGGGATAGTGCGGGGAAATGTATGTATAGGAACGGCGTCCGGCCGGAGGACCACCGCGCACCACTGGAGTGTAGCCACATCCCACGTGAGCTCCGTTCAGGGCCATCCCGGGCCAAGCCCAGGGAAGTCCCGACGCCACACGCACATCCTCAAGCATGGGTGCCCTCCAACTTTGCATATGCAGGTCGTGTAGTCTACGAGCTGCCTCGACTGACCTCGCACAACATGCACTGCACCGCACAATGCATATGAAACGCACGGGGGCTCTATTTACGCCGGTGGCCACTTCCGCGATTCCCGTTCCCTTACACGCAAAAATGGATGCGCCGACCGTTCCCGTGTTCACTGCAATTCATTCATTCATCGCGCCGGGAGAGCTCGCTCCTGATTTAGAACTTCTGCACGCCACCGAGTGCATGCGCCTCTTCGTCACCACTGCCTGTGCAGCTGATTCCCTGCCGTCGACTCGTATGGATCCTTCCGCATTATACAATGTTAACGCCTGCACGTCGCGCGTAGCGTGAATTACGCCAGTGACCATCCGCGTGCCTGGTGCGAGGTTTCCGCTCTTCTTACGTCTTGTGTGGCGCTCGAAGCTCGATAGCAGGCTAGGATCGACCTTAGAGCTGCTCATAAGCAGCTTTGAGCTCTCCACGGCCCAACTCATTTGTCCTTGCAGCAACAGCGCCATCCGAGCCTAACCATCCGGTCTGCGCAGAGCGGGGGAGAGTGTGGCGCAGCGGATCGTGAGATTCTAAACTCCCGTAGGGAGTAGTGGAACGGGGGACGTCGGTGGTGGTCAACTGTCTTGGCTCGTCATCCTATCGCGCGCATTAACGCGTCGATGGCGTCGCATCTCGTCGTGCACATATCACAGTATGAATATCTAGCCCTGCGCACATCTTCGCTCTCGTTGGTCCGCTAGCGCCAGGCTCCGTCTATTCTCGTCTGCCGCTTATGCTCCCCACTCGACGCACTATGCACACCAGCTGCCTGACGCACTCGCCGCCCCTGCGCAAGACCGTCTCGTCTGCGCGCACTCGACGCTCTTTTCGCAGACGAGTGGGGACCGACCGCTCAAACGCCTCGCAGCACCGCTTGCACTAGGCTACTCTCTCAACACCGCCGACGCGCGTTCAGTTCGACACTATCCACGCGCTGTCTGTGAACGCATCGCGAACGCACAGAGCATCCGCGCGTTCGCGACATGTCGGGCTCCGGGGTTCGATCGTAAGAGGGGCGACCCTACGCGCAGCTCGCGCCGTCTCGAGGCGCGTCTCCATCTTCTCACTCGTACTGGCCATGGCTGCGCTCGTCGCGTCAGCCAGCCACCAGGCTCGTCGAGCGTTCTGCTCGCGTCTCTCACAGTGCGTCGCGCTCGGCCAGCACATGCTCTTCTGCTTGTTGGCACGACGTGTTCACTGCGGCCTCAAGTCCGCGCGGCACATGTGCTCAACACTGTTTATTTCATCCTTTGCCCTCCCTCCCTATGTGCTACATGGTCTCCGCAATATATTTCTACACCGACACGTTCATGCAAAGCCACGCAAGCCGTCAGCACAGGTCCAGCCCTCGAGTGCGCTTTCCACCTACCTGCGTTGCGCAGGGTCAGAAGCATGCCTGAAGGAACGCGCGTCAGCAGTCTGCGTGTGCGCGAGGGCGGCGCGGGCGTGTGCTTACTTGGCCAGCAGGCAAAGTCCAGCGGGGTCCTCGATTCGGTGCGTTGATGATGGCAAGCAGATGCGTGGTGAGTACGCTCTTGAAGGATTCGTTTTCGACGAGGGACGTGAGTGGACGCGTTAGGCGGTGGCCTGGAGAGTGGTGTACCCGGCCAGTATGCGGCGCGGGCGAATCGATGTTTCTACAGCGCTCGATTTGATATACCGCCGCCTGCGAGGTGATCGTCCGGCCAGTACGTGGCGCGGGCGACCGATGTTTCTATGGCGCTGTATATCGCCGCCTGCGAGGCGATCGTCATCGCAAATGAGATGGGGCCATTGGGCAGCGGGTGCGGCGCATGACGTCTCGTTTACAAAAGACGGAGAGCGGGTCCATAGGCGTGGCAGGCCTACGGCGCGTGCAGGCCCAGGCAGCAGAAGATACATACCGAGCCAGCAGATGGTGGAAGCGAGATGGTGCGTCCGACCAGTATTCGGCGCAGGCGCATCAAATGGCGTTGGGTTTGATGTCCCGTCGTGCGAGGCGACCGTGATCGGAGACGGGACGAGTGGGAATGACGCAGTACATGTGGTTCGAAAAGAGTGGAGAGCAGGTCTGTAGGCGTGGCAGGCCAACGGCGCGTGCAGGCACGTACCGAGCCAGTAGATGGTACAGGCGAGTTCGCGTGCCGGCCAGTCTTCCGCGCAGGCAAACCATCGGGGCGATTCGATTCGATGTCCTGCCGCGCGAGGCGACCGTGATTAGGGATTGGATGGGGCCGTTGGACAGTGGCTCGGTGGGAACGGCACGGTACATGTGGTTTAAGAAGAATGGAAAGCGGGTCTGTAGGTGTGGTGGGTGAGCGGCGCGTGCAGGGCCCAGGCAGCAGAGTGCACATACCGAGGTGCAGGTGAGTTGGTGTGCCCGGCCAGGCTGTGCCACTCTGCTCGACTCGATGTGTGCCGCCAAACATGGCTGGTCTTGCGAGGCGGTTGTCTGTGCGTCAATGTATGGGAGGGCGGTTCATTGTCGGTGCGTGTGAGCGTGAACGGTGATGGCTTGTCTGCGTTAAGTGAGCGCGAACAGGCAGGTCTGTGGCAGGGGAGAGGCTTACGGGGGCTCGACAAGGGGACGCGGTGACATGGTCGGCTTGCACGGCGGACTCGAAGCGGGCATGCGCTCGACGGTGCTCGTCAAAAGTGTGGGACGAAGGTGATTAGTGAGTGCGCGTGTGGGTGGTGGGACGGTACATACGTGATAAAGGCAGATGACGCGCCGTGGGTGCTTTGAGCGGTGATGGAGCACGAGAGGGCGCGTCGTGTGTACGACGGAGGAGGATGGATTAGATCAAAGGGTCGAGAGGCTGATCCAGCGCGATCAACCTATATACCTCCCCAGCCTCGGATTTCTCATGTCTGGGCTGGCCCTATCTCGACGCATCGGACACCCGTGCAATCGAACCGTGCCCCAAAAAGCCTGTACGTAAAGTCACGCTGGATCGATAACAGAACTGATGGACTCACCTGCATAGACGCGGTCGACATGGGGTTTCGAAAGTGACTGGTCTGTCTCGCCTCGCGACACCATAGGCACGATCATACCTACGTGAGGCGCACGTCGGGATACAAAGGCGATGGTGAAAGAGCTCATCCCCACCTTGCGCCGCGTACGTGAGAGCGTGCAGAACAATGGCGATGTTCGCACATCAGAAGCGGAAGCATCCATGCTCTCGGACCCGTTCGCAGCCCTCAATTTTGTTCTGACTCAAGCTGGAACATGCCCGCTATTACGTTCTGACGACTTCGCCTTCCGGAAGCCGGCCATGCATGCAATGCGCCCGAGACTGTGCCCATCGCTGTCCATCGGCTTGCAATGGATGACAGGGTCTTGAACGCAGTCCGTACCCTGGAAGGAGCCAGATGTTGCAAGGTCCACAGCAGCTCTGTGAAGTCACGATCAAGCTCGTGGACGATTGAGATTGTCGGTATGCATCACTCACAGAACCAGGGCAGTGGTCAGACATACCGCGTATGGGAGAGTTCGCCGCAAGGGTCATCATGAAGGCGCCGTGAGTCAACACGATGCTTCTGATATACGGTGGGACTAGATTCGAGGCCGGGTGTAAAGGGAAGATCCGCTTATTTACTCAGGACGTAGCGAAGTTCATTGACTGTTCGCATAATGGAACCAGTTCTGCAAGATCCTGCTTGCCAAACTTGCACGACCTTTTATTCTATCATTGCCCTCCCAGTTGTCGGACCTTGGTGGACCTGTTGAAGTTCGGAAATGCAAGTAAGGAAGAGAGTGCGGCCTTCCAAGTGGTTTGTTCTCGGCCGCGGAAGCTTCTCATGAATACGTTATCATTTGATCATCATTGTGCCCGTGCAGAAGGACCGGGCGGCGGCCACTTTGTACCGTAGGACAATTGGACCAACTCAGTGCCAGAACATGATCTCTCCTTTCCAGAGGCGCCATTATTGCACTGATGGTGTGGCCAGGGTTTGATGATTTGAATGCCAGAGTCCGCCGCGTAGCATCATGAAGGATCATCGAAGCCCACCTAGATGATAGCTCACTTTATGCGGACGCATGCACCACTGGCAGAAGCTCTGGGTCTGATCTGCAGGCGGAGGATGTGGATCATAGAGTTGCACACGATTTCTGTTGCATTAGAAATGTCCCTTTGAAAGAATCAGTTCGGCGACGGATGCAATTTCTGATGATCAATTGAAGAGCTGTCCTAGGCCGGTCATCAAGTGTGAAAGCACCCACGAGATCCCATTCCAAGCGGTCGGGTCGATGAATCGCGCATGAAATCGCTGATCTCACCTCATGCTGGTCACACAAAAATGAAATCCCGTGTCACAAATTCCTATCTCGGTCGCTATCCTTAGCAACCCAATGCTTCCGCTCGAATCTGGAACTCGTCATGGGCGGAAATGTGGTCCACGATTTCTGCTAGAACTCCGCTGTGTGAGTAATGGCAGTACCTTCGTCGTCTGGGCCCAAGTCTGAGATGGCTCATTTTGGGCTCTCCATTCGGTGCGTTTTCAGCTGATGTGAACCCGCGCTGCATTATAATTTGGAGACTGTGCGGACAAGGGCTGGGTGCAAGTTCAGGCCTCTGTCCTTTGCGATTGCGATCACTTTGATGATTGCACCGTGATTTGAGACCCAAAAGTTACGTCGGGACTCTTTCTTTAAATCAGGTTCAACCGCGCTCAAATAAACATTGGCATTGGGTGTAAGTGCTCCGTTCGACTCTGCCAGGCTTCAGGTATGACATCCTCATTGCTGAGCTTGCCGTGCCAGTGCTCTGGGCCACTGATCTGACTCGAATATCCCTTTTCAGTGCTCATCGGTGTCGATGCGTCCAATCGAGTCGCTATGGCCAGGTAAGTATTAGAATTCCTCAATTCAGGGTACATCGTCCTCATGAACTCACATTCACAGACATTGCAGATGGCGAAGCCTGAGCTCCAAATCGAATCAAACTAAGCAGTGGCAATAGGAGCGATGAGATGAGTTTAGAGGACACGTACCCACCGAATTTTTCAGGGTCTGTATGATAGCGAGAATTCCATGTAATACATGCCTTCCTTGATGGCAAAATGAAATACCGCCTTTGCTGGCTTTGCATTACATTAAACGCGTTTTCTAGTCTTGAAAGCAGCTGTGTAAAGCCCTCTCTGCCCTTGTTCATGCCCCATCTCCAACAATCCAGATGGTCCACTTGCAAGGAAATATATTTACGCACTATGCACGTACATCGGCCCGGTGTCCTACCACTTCTATAGACCAGCTCGTCCTCACGATTTGCTTTGCCAAGCCCTCCAATCCTTCCCTGCCTGCCTTCCTGCCCACCATCCTCGTGAGCGCCGCACACGCCCTCCGCGGCGCAAAGTACTCTGCCTGCTTCTCCCGCGAGCCGCCGCAGCCGCCTATGTTCACTGGCTCGACGTCCGTCATGCTCTCCTGCTCGCCATCGGTGTCGTTGTCGTTGTCCGTATCGGACGCAGAGGAGAGCGATGGCGTGGACGACTCGAGCTCCTGCTCAGACTGGGCGTCCTGGTCCTGTTCAGAGTCATGCTCAAAGGCAGTGTCATGGAAGATACCATCCTCGGCACCGGTAGACGTCAGCTCGACCTTCTCCGCAGGCGCCACAGAACACAAAGGCATCGGCTCCGCATCCTCGCGTACGCTCTCCTTCTCCTCCGTCCCCCCCTCTATATGCTCTTCTGCCTGCTTCTCCATCAACGGCACGAACGCAAAGTTCATCTGCCTCTTCGGCCTCCGTTCCTCCTTCCCCTCTTCCCTCCTACTCTCCGCGGGCTTCGGTGCATCTTGCGCGGGCAGCAGCGGCACGAAGGCCATGTTCATCCGGAGTGGCGGTGGCCGTAGAGGCGCATGTGGTTTGGACGGAGACGGCGAAAGAGACATGGATGGGGATGGTGAGGGTGAGGGTGAAGGCGGGACGGCGGGCGAGCGCTGTGTGCCGGAGGGCGAGTGGAGCGTGATGGATGGCGGGGTGTGTGGAGGTTGCGATGATGGCGGGGGTGGTGTTGTGGCCTGTGAAGACGGCATGCTGGAAGAGGACGAAGCTGGCGGCAGATGTGGTGATGATGATAGCGGTGGTGAAGGTGCAGGTGAGATCTCTTCAGAGCGAGAACTAGGGGTCACGGTGCAGTTGGAATCAGGACCAAAGCTAGGACTTGGCTGACGGTCCCGCTCGTGATGCTGGTTCGCAGGCATGCAAGCCGCATTCGGACAAGATTCCAACGAAGACACCTTGGGTGTCTCGCGCACAGACGCCGGCGTCGGCGGCGGTATTGACGGCTCGGGCTCAGGCTCTTGCGCAGACGAGTCCAACAGCGGGAGCAGCCTGATGGGCACCGCTTCGAGGTACGGCAGAATCTCGGGATCGATGGGCCGCGCGAACTGGGAACGGTTCTTCCAGCGGTCGGGCGTCTGGCTGGGCTGTGACGCAAAGCGCGAGCATGGGAACGGCTGCGACTTGAAGGAAGATGCCGCCGAGGATGAGGATGAGGACGACGACGACGACGAGGGGTACGGATAGGAGCAAGAGTGTTCGTAGGGTGTATGGCAGTCGCGCGGAAGGGAGGTCGTGAACGGCTGGCGGGGAGTAGGGGGTGGGGGTGGTGCGCGGGGGAGGGACACGAGGAGCTGCTTGAGCTCGAGGACGTCTCTGTTGGCGGAAGGGGCAGCCATCAGTATGTGTGCGAGTGATATCAGTCAGGGGCAGTGTGAGTTTGGTGAACGGCAGGCTTATGCAGCGGCCACTTCGGGCGTCGGCGCATCGGGAGGCGAAGACGAGGCAACAACAGATAAGAGACCGAGGAATAGCGGAGATGACGTCGTCGGCATCGCAGCGTGCGCCCGACTTCCAACAGTCTCCCCAATAGATCATCCGCTCTGGCGTCTCACCGTGACTCACACGAGCGAGCAGTAGACAAGAAACAGCACGACACTCACGAGTACGACAGCTTGGGCGTGACAGGGGCAGGCGAGCGGTCCCACTCGTCTGCGAAGAATACCTCCTCCAGCGTCGAGTCCTCGCAGAAGGACACGTTCTTGCGGAGGGGCGGCCTGGTGAACGGTCCCGCGCACTGCGACGGGGCAGGTGAGGTCCGCCCGGATGCACTCGGCGTCGTCCAAGGCGAATGGGAGAGCTCCGGCGTCTGCGGGGGCGAATGCTTCAAGCAGCCTTTGCGCATCGTGTATCGGTAGTGTGAGCGGCAGACGATAGTAGATAGAGCAGCCTGGTGCTAGCAGTCCACGCACGGACAGTCGAGAGCGAGTATATGCGCGGGAACGCAGACAGAGTCAGACACAAACGCAGGCGGAGGCGGGGTGCTCGTCGCCAGCTTGTCTTGTGTTGGATGCAGATGGGGCGACGACGGGGAGGGAGTCGATGAGCTAGTGCGGGGAAATGTATGTATAGGAACGGCGTCCGGCCGGAGGACCACCGCGCACCACTGGAAAAATGCAGTGCAGCCACACCCACGTGAGCTCCGTTCAGGGCCATCCCGGGCCAAGCCCAGGGGAGCCCCGGCGCCACACCCACATCCTCAAGCCATGGGTGCCCTTCAACGTCTGTATGCAGGTCCGTGTAGTCTACGAACTGCCTCGACTGACCTCGCACAACATGCATTGCACAGCACGATGCATATGAAACGCACGGGGGCTCTATTTACGCCGGTGGCCACTTCCGCGATTCCCGTTCCCTCACACGCAAAAATGGATGACGCCGACCGTTCCCGTGCTCACTGCAATTCATTCATTCGCGCCGGGAGAGCTCGCTCCTGATTTAGAACCTGCACGCCACCGAGTGCATGCGCCTCTTCGTCACCACTGCCTGTGCAGCTGATTCCCTGCCGTCGACTCGTATGGATCCTTCCGCATTATACAATGTTAACGCCTGCACGTCGCGCGTAGCGTGAATTACGCCAGTGACCATCCGCGTGCCCTGCTCAGCTGGTGCGAGGTTTCCGCTCTTCTTACGTCTGTGTGGCGCTCGAAGCTCGACGGCCGGCCAGGATCGACCTTAGAGCTGCTCATAAGCAGCTTTGAGCTCTCCACGGAGCTTGCCTTTTGTGCCCATGCACCCTATTAGGATATACTGACAACATGGTCATCTGCCCAACTCATTTGTCCTTGCACCAACTGCGCCATCCGAGCCTAACCACCTACCTCGGGCCTTAGCGCGCAACCCCAACGTCCCGCCGCTCGCAAGCGCCCTTCGTCTCCCGCGGTCCGTCTCCGTTACCGTCCACGGGCGCATCACGACCATGTTGCGCCCAAGGACGATTGGTGCCCTGGACGTGCCACGTCCATGTCGCAACGGACGACAGCAACCGACCCCATACACCGAGGCCGGCACCGGAAAAATCGACTGAAATTATGTGCGACGTGGACGGCGGGCTTGCGTGCTCAAGTGTTGAAACACTTCCAAGGATCAGATTGTCCGTGGACCGTTGACTGAACGGAGATTGCGCAGAAGCGTGTCGCCATGACACCGGTAAGTTCCGTCGAGAGATTAATCAATGCAGTGGAAGGACGTTACGGACCGACGTTAACGAGAGCTGCTGTATTTCCTGCTCGTTGTATGCTGTCGTATGAAGGTACAGGGAAGATGATTAAGATCATGGAATTAAAACGAGAAACATACCTCAGGCTTGTGGTTCCTTCTACGTGTTAACGCAAATTTTGTTGTAGAATACTAGCAAGCTTCCGAGGCTTCAATAACATCCTGCATTTTCCTCCGTAAGATTAAGCGGGATGGGGTTTGAGTCGCGTGCGGCGGGGCAAGAGACTCGCCAGGTTGAAACTCCGAATATCACTAGTAAGTTTTGTTCCCGTTGGGATAGGCGTCGCTCAAGCGGCGGCATTGAAGAACACATTGGCATTGTGCAGAGTGCACACTGCGGTCTGACGCGTGGAACAGAAAGAAGAAGCAAAACGGAGGACACTCAGGCGGATTTCACGTAACAATGTACGACAAGATATCACCGTGCGGTGGAGACTTACTAGAGTAAGTGCAGGTGGCACCGTGAAGGCGCTGCAGGCCCGAGACCCGTGGAGAAGACATTTCTGTGTCGCCATACGTTGATTAACACCAAGCACCCGAACCGACGCCGAATGCGGTGCGGTCTGCAGGCCTGAATAAGGGTCAACCGCAGAGTACTGGCCCGAGATATCATCCGCCTCCGAATCGTATCTAACTCTGGAAGGGACCAAGGATGAGTTTATTCACGACAAGACTTGACTGTTTTGTTCTCACTGTGTATTCAGATTTTCCATCTGACCTTTTTCATCATTATTATGCAGTGGAGGTCTTACATGCACAGTAGCAGAGCATCGGATCATGAGAACCACATCTGAAGCATCAGTTTTGTTATCAAACATAGTAAGCTGTGCGCATTCGCGTAGTCCATTTCCCCGACAGGCACCATACTTAGTCTCCCGTGGGCAGACGAGACAATTCCTTCAAACCTCCGCGGGAACGCTCCGGATATCCTTGTCTGACACCATACTTAGCGGTGATCAGGACGACACGAACAGCCGGTAACTCCATCATGGTGACAGCCGATAATCTCGCTCACACCTCTACTGCCGGGTTTTCAAGTACCGAGGCAACTCAAAAGTGCTTATAAGCGCATACATTCGAGAGATATAATTACAAAATAACAGGCTGAGGAAGATTAAAAGGTGGCACAGGCGTTTACTCTATCGCGGAAAGCATCGTGTTGCGTATAGAAAAGAAATATGGAGACCGGTAAGTCGTCTTAGTACCGAATCTTCCCCGACTGGTACAAGTCGCCGATAAAATTCTCGAGCGACGGCTTGCAGATGCCATCGATGGCTTGTCGCACGTACATACCAGAATGGTCACCCCTTCCGGCCAGCGTGCTCTTAAACAGCGGCGCGAGGAAAGACTCGCTCGGATTGTTCCCTCGTATTGTCTCATCGTAGACCTTGAGGACAGCGTAGTCGTGACCGCGCATATTCAGGCAGAAACGCATCGGCTCTGGTTTTATATACCCTCCCCATCGTTTGGCTTTCGACGATTCGTCTGTTGACGGTTCGTCTGCCGACGGTTCGCCTCCCGACGGTTCGTCTGCCGACTGTTCAGCTGCCGACGGTTCGCCTCCCGACGGTTCGCCTCCCGACGGTTTGCCTCCAGACGGTTCGCCTCCCGACGATTTGGCTGCGGACTTCTTGGCTGCGGACGGCTTGGGCATGGTCGCCGTAGCATGCGACAGACGGAATTTACCCTGCGACTGGAAATCGGTCGCCGTTCCGAGATCCATGAGGATCACGATGTGCTCGGGTTTATAGATCACGTCGCCATGCTTTACTCGTGGCCCAGTCAATGCGTTCGCCAGACCACTAGATGCTGCCTCATCTCTGGCCTTCGTCTGCCACGCGATGTAACTCAGTTTCGTCGGATCAAAGGGCTCGTTCAAGTTACCGCAATATATCACGATGAAGCCATCGATCACTGGCTGGTTCATAGCGCACTGAACAGCAGCAGTGCGGCACCAAAGGTAGTAGAGAAACTCGGTGGTGACTTCTTCAATGTTTTCGGACAGCCGAATGAAATGTGTGAAGTTGATGTGAGCATTGTCTCCGAAATTCTTGAGGGTCCAAAAGCCGGCTGCGTTCTCTATGTCTTCGCCAATCATCTTTGTGAGGAAATCGGTGACTTTCACCGTCGCTAGCATATCCGTGTATGGCTTGCTACCGGAGCGCACGACAAATTCCGTAGTCGTCGCATCGCGGGTCATCATTAGTAGAAAGCGCGATACAAGTTCGCCCGTGGAACCCCTGTCCTGCACAAGGCCTTGCAAAACGAGCTTGTTGATGAACGTCTTGATCGCCTCCACATAGGCTTTTTTATTGATATTCAGTGTACACGCTGCAGCGAGGGCGAGAATTGGTTCCGAGGGGACGCAGGTCTCAACTATGTGGCGATCGACGATGGATATAAAGAGGCGCATATGACTGCGCACGCTGTTGATCGCCAGGCGAGACGCTGCGGGGCCTTCCGCGATCTCCACTAGAACCCGAGTAGAGAACAGGGCCAGAACGGATAGCTCATCTTGAGGTTGCAATTTGTCAGAGTTAAGAAGCTTCCTTGTCGCCTGACCGATCAGTGAGTTTTCGGAGAGCGTTGACCAGTACTGCAGATATCAAGATGGAAGACGTTAAGATTCGTCAGTACATCGCAAAAAAAAGTGATCATAGAAAGTGAAACGACATTCACCGGACGACCATACATCTTGAGACGATTGAGCGTCAGAGCCTCCGTCAACGTCGGGACACCATTCTGCTCGATGTCGCCCTTCACCATTTGGTCAAAGCCGAAGTATCCCCAAGGAAGAAGAGGTTGCAACTTGCCATCAAGTCGGAAAGAGGGAGCGAACGTGCCTGTGGGTGGAACGAGATCGAAGACCGCAGAGTTGGTATCCAGCAGCAGGAACCAGAACTGCTTATGGAACGCATCCGCGGCTTTCATGATCCTCTGCATTGCTATCAGCGACATCATCTCTACGGAGTCGCGATCGACCTCGTTGTCTTTGGACTTCCTTGGATTGGGCCCGAGTTGGGTGCATTCGTCGATAGCCACAATGAAATACGGGAACTCGGCATTATGCCGCTGCTTCAAAACCTTTTGAAGGTGATCCGCGCCGGCTTGGCATAGCTGTTCATAGACATGTCGATGCCAAGCAGGTGTATCCTGGTCCTTTCCCTCCTTGAACCGGCGCAGTGCTACAAGTTCATTCAGGTTCTTCTGAAGCAAAATTGAGGCATTCGCTTTCACCGCAGCAAAATTCTCGAAACGAGGTGACCGTGAGTAGTCGTTAGCGGGGTCGAAAGGGAGGTCCCATGATGCCATGAGGTCGCCCAGCTGGTCACCAGTTGACCTTTCGATACTCACAGCCACCTGCTCAAACAACGCGCCCAGAAACGCCGCCGCAAGCTCCTCCCCCTGATATGATATTAGCCCATGGGTTATAAATTGATTGATATGTGACGAACCATGTAGCCCGTTGGACGTGGCTCCTTGAAGAACTCATAAGCAGGAGTGTCAACAGGTGGCCATCCGTCCTCGGGGCGGTTCTCTTGACGCAAACATACGCTGATGGTGGGATACTGCAACACGATTAGATCATTGGGGCGTTTTGAGATGACGTGACGTCCACTCACGTCGTGAGAAAGCTCGGACACCAGTCTCGATTTACCTGTGCCACTAGATTGCAACAGAGCAATGCAACGGCCGTAGTGCATGCTTTTGTCGTAATGGTCTCGGCAACGATGTAGCTCCACCTTGAATCGATCCAATGCATCACCTCTGTATGTCCTATGAAATGCGTCGTGCAGCCGTCGTCGTAGTTCAAGCCTGGGTGAAGCACTGTCAGCGAATCCGTGAAGAGACCGTTACTAGATATCAGCATACGGAGATTCGACTATCATATCCCTTGGAGGTGACGCTGAGTGTGTGAAGCAAAAGTACGCCTCATAAGCATTCGATCGCGGCAAAGCATGCTTTCTCGACTCACGTTGGCGACAGGCTCTCAACGCGAATGCAGCGATATCGCCTTCATCTAGAAGGCGACTGAGGTCTGCGTTGGAGTGCGCAGGATGTGGATTGTTGCGGTGCTGCTGATCGGGATCCGACCATAGCGCTTCCGCCAGCACTTGCGGCAATGCATTCGCAGGTTGCAACAAGGACAGAAGGATATTGAGGAACTGCAAGCCACGACGTTCGTCTACAACCTCCAAAGAGTCCTTGAAATTCATTCGCACTCTGTTGAGAGTACGTGAAGTCCCTTGGAAGAAGTCTTGGCACTGTTCTAAGTCTGAACGCTGATAGAATTCAAAAAAAATCAGACATCGACGCTTATGAGCGAATAGATAGAATCCACTCACATGGTCGACGAAGGACTCGACGCCTTCCATGGGCACTGCATCGTCCGAATCGATCGCTTGCTGCAACGTCGGATCCTCGAGCTGGCTCTCGCTTTGCGTGGCGCTGGTTGCGTCTGCCATCGCCACCTCAAATTCCGTAGTTCCTTCTTCTGTCATGGCCTTGTGGGGTTTGTCCGTATCTTTAGTTATTTGGTCCGCTGTACGTTTAGAAGGCACCGTTCGAGTGGATGGGTGAAAAGTTGATTGGGAAGATGCGTTCGAATATGACGCCTTGATATAGGTATTCGCATCTGTTTGTCAAATGTGTGCAAGGGTGGGCGGAGATGTGGCGCACACCTGGTCCTGGTTCAAACTCGCACGTGGCAACTGCGCCTTTCCACAAGCAGTACAAGGGTATACCGTGTAATACAACAGCCTTGTCCCCCCTCCTCCTCCTCCCCAAATCTTCTTTCAGCACGCCGCGCGTCTGCACTTCCAGTCATTGAAGCCAACCGCTCACATCGATCGCCTCGTAAAGCGTCAGTGTGGCTACCCTCGCGCAAACCTGGTCAGAGCGTCAAGCACCAAAAAGACGGGTTCTGGCCGCATAGCGCTAAGTCAAGCATGTGTGCGGTTCAAGAACGGTTTCAGATGCGATCATCGCGGTCGGCAGGTTGATCGAATGCCTGTGATTTACAGAGCGAACACCACTGCCTTGAAGAGGGCCAAGCCACTCCAAGCCAAGACATCCGAGGCATAAGATGTATTTTGTTATCTCGCTTCGTCCCCGTTATATCCTGCCTGTCACGCATCTGCACGAGCATGCTCTCCTGCTACCGTATGCGCAAAGTAAAGGAATTCTGTGTATACACGAAATCGCTATGCGCGGCGCGCGCATGGCAGACGTTGTGCTGCCAGTCGCCGATAGAGTGTGTTTCATTCGCGAGCCATATCAATCACCAGAATTGAGGTGCGAGTGTTTTAGTTCTATGACTCTAATACGTGGTAGCAACGTGATCTGATGGAAGGAAGAACCTGTACGCGGAAAGGCAATAAGTCTTGTATACCGGCAGGTGCGTCACTCCAATCAAATGTTTCACGATCTACCATGACATGTTCTTCCTGCGCGTGCAAATTGCGTCGAGAGAGATCCCGGGCTTGTAATAGAACTCCTTTCAAGGTGTTGCTGCGGCCCTTGTACAATATCCGTTCTCGTTCGAGGTGCCTTGTGTTCCGGTTGCAGCTAAGTTGGCTTTCTCCTCCAGTTCGCCGTCAGGTGTGGCGCGGCCAAGACGGTGCCAAGTACCTTCTATCGGTAGCGAGTTGCTTTCCGACGTGAATTTCAGTGGTTGTTGCTTTCTATTGCGTAGCATGCACGGGTTGCTCTCCGCAACCTGATGAACCGTCAACTTTCAACGTGTCGAGGATCTATGTGGTAGTGGGGACCATCGAAGCAAGCAAGCCAGGATGAAAGTGAGCGAAGAATTGACCTGTTGACCTTGTCATCTAGTCTCTGACTCTTGTCGGTGGATATCAGGCGGGGGATGCTCTCCTTGATTACCTGCCATTAGTTATCATTTGACTAACGGCGCTGTATCTATCCTGTTGGTGACCTGGACCTGGGCATCCATAGCACTAAGCGTGAGCACTTCATGCCTGTAGCTTTTCATCGATCTTGCCCTGTTCCTCTGCCGTTCAAACCTTGCGCCACGATGGTTTACTTTCCCATTCTCGGAGCGCTGAGGCAGCTGGCTAACAGATGCTGCACTTGCTATTGGCGGAGTTGAAGTGCTGCAGGACGGTGAGCAGCTCGCCACACCTCACCTTCTCCTATTGTGCGGCGGCTGCAGCGGCATCAGCTGCCACGACCGACCTCGCACAGCATCGTACGACGTACATTTTTCCAAGAATGTATTCAGGCTCCATTTGAGCCGGTGACCACTTCCGCAATCCCCACACCGCCATCATTCTGGATGCGCCGACCGTTCCCGCGCTCGCTGCGATTCATTCGTGCCCGGACATATGTACGTCAACGAGTACGCCTACCTCTCGAATATTCAGGAGAAACTACTGTCCTAGCACGAGCCATTCGTGGGACGTCAAAGCAAATGCCCGCCAGTGTGAACCACTCTCTTCGTGGAGACGCTGCGGCGTACTAGAGGAACATGCCTGTGCATTGATGGCCACTCAGCATACGAGCCCGACGTTGAAAGCCGTGGATTCCGTAGGCTGGCTTGAGGCACGCTGAGTACTGGATATCCTGAGCGAAAAGGATGAATACAATTCAGATCCGATCCGCGTCAAGTAACTACGACTAATAGCGGCCGGTAATGATACGGATGTTTGGGGCACAGCTGAAAGTGGACGTGAAACTGATGGTTTTTTGCATGACATGTGAATTGATATCTGTTCTCACTGACCGTTCAAATTCTCCATCTTGTTTCTCCGCCACTATCCAGTGAAAAAATCTTGCGCAAGGCATGCCAACTGCACCCGTGAAGCAGCAGTTTTATAAATAAACATGATAAGATGCTTCAAAGTCCTAACAGCCCCACAGTTATGTTTATGTGTATTCCCCTTGTGCGAGTTGCTCATGTAGTCCGTTTCCCCGACAGGTACCATAACAGAGACCAGGACGACAAGAACGGCCGGTAATTCAATCGTGACGACAGCCGCCATACCCCTTCTGGTTTTCAAATACCGAGGCAACTCAACTTGAAGTGCTTACAAGCGCATACATTCTAGAGATGTTATTCGATCATGATAGGTTGAGGGAAATCCAAAAGCACAGGCGTTTACTTTCGAAAGATATTGCCACACCATCGTGCTGCGTGTGGTAGGCAGACCGATGAGTCGTCTTACCGAATCTTCCCCGACTGGTACATGTTGCCAATGAAGTCCTTGCCAGACAGGTTGCAGACGTCATTGACGATTTGTCGTACGCAGGCACCAGACTGGTCATCCCTTCCGGCCAATGTTCGCCTGAACAGCGGCGTAAGACATGACTCGCTCGGATTACTCCCTCGTATTTCTCGATCGTAGATCTTGAGGACAGCATAGTCGTGACCGCGTATGCTCAGGCAGAAACGCTTTGGCTCTTGTTCTATATACCCTCCCCACCGTCTGCCTCCCGACGGGACGGTCGCCTCAGCGTGTGACAAGCGAAATTCACTAACGAACTCGGATTCGGTTGACACTGCAAGATCCATGAGGATCACAATGTGCTTGGGCTTGTGGCGAACCCCAGCATGTATAACGCTAGGTCCAGTCAATGTGTTCACAAGCGAGTCGGAAGATGTCGCCTGGTCTTTAACGTTCGTCCGCCACGCGATGTAACTCAGTTTCATCGGATCAAAGGGCTCATTCAAGCTACTGCAATATACCACGATGAAACCATCGATCACTGGTTGGTTCATAGCGCACTGAACAGCAGCAGTGCGGCACCAAAGATAGTAGAGAAACTCGGTGGTGACGTCCTCAATGATTTCGGGTAGCTGAATGAAATGTGTGAAGTTGATGTGAGCATTGTCTCCGAAATTCTTGAGGGCCCAAAAGCTGGCTGCGTTCTCTAGTGCGTCTTCGCCGATCATCTTCGTCAGGAAATCGGTGACTTTCACCGTCGCCAGCATAGACGTGGTTGGCATGCTATCGGAGCACACAATGTATTTCGGAGTCGCCGCATCGCGGGTCATCATTAGTAGAAAGCGCGATGCAAGTTCGCCCGTGGCACTCCTGTCCCGCACAACACCTTGCAGGACGAGCTTGTTGATGAACGTCTGTATCGCCTCCACATAGGATTTGCGAAAGACATTCAGTGTATGCGCTGCAGCGAGGGCGAGAATTGGCTCCGAGGGGCTGCAGGTCTCAACTGTGTTGCGATCGACGATGGATACGAAGAGGCGCATATGGCTGCGCACGCTGTTGATCGCCAAGCGACACGATGGTGGACCTTCCGCGATCTCCACTAGAACCCGAGCAGAATACAGGGCTAGAACGGATAACTCTTCTTGGGGATCGAATCTGTCAGAGCTGAGAAGCTTCCTTCTCGCCTGGGGGATCAGCGAGTCTTCGGGGAGCGTTGACCAATACTGAAGACATCGAAATGGAAGATGTTATCACTCATTAGTACATTGCAAAAAAGTGATCCTAGTAGGTGAAACAACATTCACCGGACGACCATACATCTTGATACGATTGAGCGTCAGAGCCTGCATCAACGTCGGGACACCATTCTGCTCGATGTCGCCCTTCACCATTTGATCAAAGCCAAAATATCCCCAAGGAGGAAGAGGATGCGGCTTGCCATCAAGACGGAAAGAGTGAGGTAGATTGCCTGTGGGTGGAACGAGATCGAAGATCGCGGAGTTGGTGTCCAGGAGCAGATACCAGAACTCCTTATGGAACATATCCGCGGCTTTCATGATATTCTGCATTGCTGTTGCCGACATCGACTCGGCGGAGCCGCGATGGACGTTGCTATCATTGTATTTCATTAGAGTCGATCCGAGTTGGGTGCATTCATCGATGGCAACAATGAAATACTTGAACCTCGGACCAAGCCGCTTCCTCAAAACCTCTCGAAGACGATCTGCGGCAGCTTGGCATAGCTGTCCATAGACATGTCGATGCCAAACAGGCGTATCCTGGTCCTTTCCCTCCTTGAACCGGCGCAGTGCTACAAGTTCATTCAGGTTCTTTTGAAGCAAAATTGAGGCATTCGCTTTCACCGCAGCAAAATTATCGAAACGAGCTGACCGTGAGTAGTCGTTAGCGGGGTCGAAGGGGAGGTCCCATGATGCCATGAGATCGCTCGGCCGGTCGCCAATTGACCTTTCGATACTTACAGTCACCTGCTCAAACAATGCGCCTAGAAACGCGGCCGCAAGCTCCTCTCCCTGATACGATATCAACCTATGGGTTGAGAACTGATTTATATGTGACGAACCATATATCTCGTTGAGCGTGGCTCCTTGAGAAATTCATAAGCAGGGGTGTCAACAGGTGGCCATCCGTCCTCAGGGTTATTCTCTTTACGCAAACACACGCTGACGGTGGGATACTGCAACACGATTAAGTCATTGGGGCGTTTTGAGATGACGTGACGTCCACTCACGTCGTGAGAAAGCTCGGACACCAGTCTCGATTTACCTGTGCCACTAGATTGCAACAGAGCGATATAACGGCCGTGGTGTTTTGTTGTGTCGTAATATTCTTGGCAGTGCTGTAGCTGCTCCTTGAATCGATCCAATGCGTCACCTTTGTACGTGCTATGAAATGCTAGGTACCCTTGTTGTCGTTGCTCAAGCCTGAGTAAAGCACTGTTAGCAGAACCGTGAAGGGACCGTTATTAGGTATCAGCATACTCGGAGTTGATTGTCATATCGCTTGGAGGCGACGCTGAGTGTGCGGAGTAGAAGTCAATGTCATATGAACCTCATAAGCACTCGGTCATGGAAAAGCACGCCTTCTCGACTCACGTTGGGAACAGGCATTCAATGCGAATGTAGCGATATCGCCTTCACCTAGAAGGCGATTGAGGTCTGCGTTGGAGCGCGGAGGCCGTGGATGTTCACGACGCTGCTGATCGGGATCGGACCATAACGCTTCCGCCAGCACTAGCGGTAATGCATTCTCAAGTTGCAATGAAATACGAAGGAGCTCGAGGCACTGCAAGCCACGATGTTCCCCTACAACCTTCAAACACGCGTTGAAATTCGCTTGCGCCATGTCGGCACCAATTGAAGTCCCTTGGAAGAAGTCTTGGCATTGTTGTAAGGCTGGAGGCTGATAGAAGATCACAAATTAGACATCGACGCTTATGAGTGAACAAAATTCATTCACATGGGCGACGGACGATTCGGCGTCTTGTATGGGCACTGCATCGCCCGAAATGACCCCCCCGGGTTGCAATGTCAGATCCTCAGGCTGGTCATCGAATTGTGTGGCGCTTGTTGGCGCTGTTGTCATCGCCTGTGATTCCGTCTTTCCTTCTTCTATCATAGTCTTGCGGGATTGTTGGAAGTGGCCGACCGACGGCACTTTCGGTAGAACGCGCTCAACGCGTCGGGAGGGACGAGCGCCAAGCGACGGCTGAAACGCGTCGCA